CCCGAGCGGCCACTGCACTCCAGTCTGGGCGACAGAGTGAGACTCCAACTCAAAAAAAAAAAAATGATAATAATAATAGGCAGAAAAATAAATACAACCCCCCAAAATAAGATAAATAAGTATGGGACAGATAAGAATTGTAACATAAACCAAAAAGCAATGTAATGTTCTTTGTTCCCTTTCAATTTTTTTTCTTTTATTTTTTTAATTTTTTATTTTAAAGATGTAGGGTACAATTCAGGGTTAGGTATACACATGGTCATTGTACAGGTAAAGTTTGGGCCTCACTTTGGTCCCCACTTCACCTAGAGAGTCTTGCTCTGTTGCTCAGTCCACAGTACAGCGGCACAATCATGCTAACTGCAGCCTTGACCTCCTGGGCTGACATAAACCTCTTGCCTCTGCCTCCTGAGTAGACAGGACTATAGGCATGTGCCACCACACCCAGCTAATTTTTAAAATTTTTTGTAAAGAAAAGATCTCATCATGTTGCCCAGGCTGGTCTCAAATTCCTGTCCCCAAGCAATCCTCCCGCTTTGGCTTCTCAAAGCACTGGGATTAGAGATGTGAGCTACTGTGCCCAGCCTCAAAATTTTTTAAAAAGATAATCTTTGTAGAAAAGTCAGGCTTGAAAAGTTTGACTTGAAAAAGTTTCTTCTTCATTTCTTAAATCATTCATTTTCTGTGGTCTCTTTATTTCTTCAGTCTCTCTTCTAGTGTCTCTTCCTAGATATGTGTCACTCAAACATTGGTTTACATCTGAATCACCTGGAGAGTTTGTTAAAAGATAGAGATAAGCAAGAAAGAGAAAGAACAATGGTATGTAATGAGGAAAGGAAAAATTAAGTGTTACAGGATTTATTTTATATTATGATTTCTAAACATAAAGCTAGCCTAACTTATTCCTAAGGAGGGTTTTATGTACTAAATAATGTGGTTCACAAGTCCCTTTCAATGTATTAAACTAATCTGTAAAACAGGGAAAATTTATGTACTACTTAAATGTTAAACCACATGTTGAAAGATGGTACTCAAATATCTACTTTTCCAAATAATTAGACTATAATCCTATTCAACATATTAGACATCCCTCATCCTGTTTCTTTTCTTCTTCTTCTTTTTTTTTTGGTATCGGGGGTCTCATTCCATCACCCAGGCTGTAGTACAGTGGCATAACATAGCTCACCGCAGCCTCGATCTCTTGGGCTCAGGCGGTCCTTCCTCCTCAGCCTCCCAAGTAGCTGGGACTACAGGTACCTGTCACCACACCCGGCAAATTTTTTTTTTTTTTTTTTTTGGTAAAGATGAAGTCTCACCATGTTGCCCTGGCTGGTCTTGAACTCCTGGGTTCAAGTGATCCTCCCACCTTGGCCTCCCAAAGTGCTGGGATTACAGGTGTAAGCACTGCACCCAGCCTCTCTTCCTATTTCAATGATGTTTAATATCCTTCAAAGAATGAAGCATCAATGCAAAAAAAAAAAAAGCTTGGGCAACTTGGTGAGACTTCATCTCTACAATAAATCAAAAAATTAACCGGGTGTGGTAGCGTGTGCCTGTAGTTCCAGCTACTTGGAAGGCTGAGGTGGAAGGATTGCCAGAACCCAACAGGTCGAGGCTGTGGTGGCTGGGAGTGTTCACTGCACTCCAGTCTGGGTGACAGAATGAGACTCCAAATCAAAAAAAAAAACAAAAAAAACCACTCCACAAACAAATACACACACACAAACAATATAAGTTCTGGGGCCCTGGAAATCAAAAGCTCTTTATCTAATGGGGGGAAACAATCCTAGTTCAAAATATTGAATATATTCAAATGATAGCCCTCTTCAAAACTGCTTTTCCCTTTAAAGTACAAAAAATAGTTTTATGCTACTTGAATGGCGATTCCATATGTAACATACTTTGAACTCACCACTAACAATACTTTGTTTTTCTAAAGAAACTTTTTTGCTCTTCACAACAGGTGTTTCTGAGTGTCCAAAACTACCCACTGCTTGATTTCTCCTTGGATACTTCATATGCCATCACTACATATCGCCTACAGTGTGTAATAGCTCACTAATCCTTCCTTTGCAATCTTCTGGGATAAGCTGTTGATGAATTTTCAGACTGCCAATAACTTCAGCAGCTAATTAAAGAATTCTCTCTTGGTACCAGCAGAGTTACTAAGAAAAGAAAAAAAGAATTCGCTACCTTGACTTAAATTCCTGTTTATACCTGAATTAAAATATAAATTATACTTTTATCATGATAAACCCCAAGTGGCCAGGCTTGATGGCTCATGCCTGTAATCCCAGCACTTTGGGTGGCAGAGGTGAGAGGACTGCCTGAGCACAAGAGTTCGAGACCAGCCCGCGCAACTTGATGAGACTCCATCTCGACAATAAATTTTAAACAAATAGCCAGGCATAGTGGTGTGCACCTGTGGTTCCAGCTACTTGGAAGGCTGAGGTGGAAGACTGCCTGAGTCCAGCAGGTCAAGGCTGTGGTAGCCATGACCATGCCACTACACCCTAGCCTGGGCAACAGAGTGAGACTCTGACTCAAAAAACAAACAGAAGCCGGGTTCGGTGGCTCAGCCTGTAATCCCGCGCCTTTGGGAGGCTGAGGTGAGTGGATTGCCTGAGCCTGCAGGTTCGAGACCCGCCTGAGCAACTTGGCGAGACCTCATCTCTACAATAAATCAAAAAATCAGCCGGGCGTGGTAGCGCATGCCTGTAATTCCTGCTACTTGGAAGGCTGAGGCGGAAGGATCGCCGGAGCCCTGCAGGTCGAGGCTGTGGTGGCCGGGAGCGGTCACTGCACTCCAGTCTGGGTGACGGAGTGAGACTCCAACTCAAAAAAAAAAAACAGAAAAAAAATACAACGTACAAGCGATAGCCAATGATCTCTTTTAGATGCTGTAATAACACTGTCAGGACTAGTTAGAAGGGCATTCCTTCAAGTTTGTTTTTTAAAATAAAGAACAAGAACATGGAAAAGAATCTGGCACCTCCTCTTTCTCTTGCTTTCGCTCTTGCCATGTGACATGCCTGCTCCCTCTCTGCCTTCCTCCATGATTGTAAATTTCCCAAGGCCTCACCCAGCAGATGCTGGCACCACACAGAACTGTGAGCCAAAATAAACCTCTTTTCTTTATAAGTTAAAAAAAAGAGAAAGAACTAGAACATGTTCAGATCTTACTCATTCTTCTGTTAAGGGTTACCTCAGGGGGCTCTATTCTGACCTACTTTATGGAGCATCATCTATATGTCTTCAGAACATCTTTAAGATATATTTGGCAAAGTTTGAATCCAGAATCCTGGAAATGTAAAGATAGATTTGTGTTCTTAAAATTCTATTCCTGGGTCGGGCTTGGTGGCTCAGCCTATAATCCCAGCACTTTGGGAGGCCAAGGTGAGTGGATTGCCTGAGCCCACGGGTTCGAGACCTGCCTGGGCAACTTGGTGAGACCTCATCTCTACGATAAATCAAAAATTAGCCAGGCATGGTAGCGCGTGCCTGTAGTTCCAGCTACTTGGAAGGCTGAGGCGGAAGGATCGCCGGAGCCCGGCAGGTCGAGGCTGCAGTGGCCGGGAGCAGCCACTGCACTCCAGTCTGAGCGACAGAGTGAGATTCCAACTCAAAAAAATTAAAATAAAATAAAAAATAAAATTCTATTCCTTTTGTGGAAATGCATCTAAACTAATCAATTTCCAGGAAAGAAACCCAAAACTTGCCTCTTGAAAACTTGGCATCCCCAGGCAAAGATATAATCTACTTCTCAGACTTGTTACTTAGTTTAGAACATTTTCAACAAACATCATACAAATAAATTGCCACTAAAAACAAAATAACCAAAGTGGACAAACAAACAAAAAAGCTCATGTGTCTTTCACATTTCCTATCAAGTATATTCTTGAAAGGTGAACAGGACAGTTGTTTTAATGGATCTAAAAAAGAGAACTAGGTCCTAAAGCAGAGGACACTAATATAAACGAGATAGAACTATTCAAACCGTAAGGGTGAAGTAGAACACAGAAAACGATGTGGGAACTAAGTGACAGTGTAGTCAGACATGTACCGAGGCAAGATTTAAGCAAAATAAAACTTGGATGAGAAAAAATAAAAGAAGAGTCAAGTACTTAGAACATGGAATGAGAACACAGCAAAGTTGTGCCAGTGTTCTTGAACTTATAGCAGAATCACATTCCACCTAAACCAGTAACACCATTCCCCAATGAGCCAAGCCTAGGGTGTAGACAATCCTCACCTAACACACCTTCTTTACACCAACAGGTAGAATGGTGTAAAAAAAACCAAACAAACAGAAACTGCATGAAAATGACAATAACCTAGGGATGTATGGCATATTACCCATACAAAAAAAGCATGAATTAAATGTATGTGTTTCAACAAATATTCTTTAAAATGCTGATCAATAGAACTAGACGTGAATAAGATTAGATGGCTCCTGTATTTCTTCAACTAAAATGGACTCTATCTTTAGAATACAACTGAATTTAAGATAGATAAGGGAAAAAGGTCAAAGAAGAGAAAGTGAGCAAGTGTTGGTTTTTATGTATGTATGTCTGTTTCTTGGTTTGAAGTGGTAATCCCATTTCTCCCAAAGACACATTTTCCAGTCTTTGCTCCTTATACCCACAAGAGACACAACCTGAAGAAAAAAAATCCATGTCAGAATACCAAGGTATGGTCTCCATTGCCTTTCCCCATGTGATTCCTTACTCAAATCAACAGCCATCATATGGAAGTGGCATATTGTTCCTTTAGAATTCCTTTAGAACATTCCTATGCTGCTAAGTTTTTCAACTTGTTACTAGAACTTTAGTTCCTTATCTTCCAAACTCCACAGACACACAACCTAGTCCTTGATCTTCTAAATTCCAAATGAACAAAGTGCTATGTCATTCATAAGACTGAGCCTAGATTAAACTGAACATAGTGTTATTGTGTGTGTGTGTGTGTGTGTGTGTGTGTGTGTGTGTGTGTGTGTGTGTGTGTTTTGAGCCGGAGTCTCACACTGTCACCCAGGCTAGAGTGCAGTGGCACACTCACCCTGCCACCACAGCCTCAACTTGCTGGGCTCAGGTGATCCTTCCGCCTCAGCCTTCTAGGTAACTGGAATTACAGGCATGTATCATCACACCCAGCTGAATCTTTGATTTCTTGTAGAGACAAGGTCTCACCATGTTGCCCAGGCTGGTCTTGAACCCATGGACTCAGGCAATTCTCTCGCCTACATCTCCCAGAGTGCTGGGAGTACAGGTATGAACCACCATGCTGGGCCCTATTTTGTGTATTTTTTTCCATAACTCAATAATAACCCAGACTTCTTCATGTTAAATCTATACTAACATGCTGTAAATGTTTCTACTAGTCTCCTAGCTGAAGGTGAATTAATTCTCATTAATATATCCTGTTGTTTTCTTGGTGTACTGCTTGATATCATGGACTCTAAACAGAGAAAGGGAATACTGCCACCCTCATCTTCCTGGAAGAGGGGGAAGAGCATTAGAAACCAAGTCTACAAAATAATTTACTATCACAGAGGGTTTCTGAACTTTTACTAAATACAGATTTACACATACAAAGTTTTTTCAACACTGAAAGATTGTAGCCAATAGTGAAAAGCCAAAGGCTGTAAATGTAAGCTTTCTAAAATTATTTTCCACTAAAACTTGACATCTGTAAAGAAAACCATTTTTGCCTTCTGCTCCTCTAGCCATAAGGAAACATCAAGTCCTAATTAGCTACAACGAAATAAATGTTTAGCCAATTCATTCTACATAGGAATACTACCTTGTAGATGACAATCTATTGTTATATTTCTGCCCGTAAGACATATAAACAATGCCTATCATTCTAAACATTACTTGGAACCTTAAATAGGATTATTGTCATACACTTCTTCCAAGATTTCTTGGATGTGCACATAGACGGAAGGTGGCCTCTTCAGGGACAAACTTCCACGCAAGGCACCTTTCCGAAACTTTCCCTTGGTTGGTATAATGTTCTAAGTTCTCTTTCCTTCCTTCCTAACCTGTGGAATGACTCTGTTCCGCTCCCTGCTTCAGCAAAGGAGACCCTTCCGTGTCCCCTGCAGACTCAGCGCTTCAACAAAGGGCTACTTATCCTAGAATCGCACAGTGGAGAGACTGGGTTTCAGGCAGATAAACGGCTAAGGAAGTCTGCAAGCAGGTGAACTCCTGGGGTTTCAACTCTTGGGGGAAGGCCAAGGTCCCTTCTGCTGCTAGTGGGCTCAGAAGCAACAACTGCTTTGGGCCTCCTTGCGGGGGAGGTCCTGGCGGCCGTGAGTGACAGTGACACAGTGGAGGTGGCGTGACCTACGGTCTCGGGGAGCGGAGGGCGGACCCCGGGCGCCGCTCCAGGGTGAAGATGTGCGAAAACACGCCCCAAAGGGCGGCTGCTGACCGCCCCCAACACACACACACGTGCCCGCGGCGGGCGAGGGCCGAGGCGGCCTGGACTCACCGTGCGGCTCGGGCCGGGACCCCGTGGGCGGCGG